ATATATATATATATATATATATATATATATATATAATATAAATGTACACAGTACACACACATATATTATGTAAACAAACTTATTTTGGATGCGATTAATCGCGATTAATCGTTGGACAGCACTAATAAATATATATATATATATATATATATATTAGATAAAAGTAAATAATATTTTTAATATATAAAATATTACAATTCTTAAATCTTATTTACAACTGACAGGGAAGATAAAATGAATAAAGGAGCTACACAACAAATATAGAAATGACATCCATAAAATACATGCATTTTGTTGCTATTTTCAGACTATAATAGGAATGACCTAGTTTTGTTTTGTGTGACTGTAACCAGATTGGCATTACCCTTCCTGTCAGCATCTGAAAATAGCACTTTCTGGTTCAAAGCCACCAACTTTCCAGCGCAGAACCGGATCTTTTTCATGGAAACGAACAAAACAGGGCCATATTTGTCATTTGCTGTCAATGGAAATGGGATACCAAAAAAAAACAAAATAATCCAGCAACCAAACCTAGATCTAGGTTTTTAAATACTACACCCAGAAACACAAGGTATTGGAACTAAAACTTGTTTGGTATCTCCAGCAGCGACTTAAACTCTGTCCTCAACTGAACCTCTGGCTCAAGTCATAAATTCCCTCAGTTCTTCAAATACTTTGTCTATAAATCACATCACTGTCCTTGGGAACATCCTGAACGAGCCCCGGGTCAGCCTTAAAGGGGTCATATGATGCTGCTAAAAAGAACATTATTTTGTGTATTTGGTGTACTGAAATGTGTTTATGCGGTTTAAGGTTTGAGCAAAATGGTTATTACATACATTATCCTGTTTTGCTCATAACTGTATATTACAATTATATATTTATTTTATAACAACAGTTTTTTATTATCAAATTTATATATATATATATATATATGTATGTATATATATACACATATACATATACACATACATACATACATACATACATACATACAGTGGGTACGGAAAGTATTCAGACCCCCTTAAATTTTTCACTCTTTATATGCAAAACCTTATTGATTATCCTGTAGGCTTTCAGCACATCCTGACTGATGCTTCCAAGACCATCACAAATCATTTTTGCTAATTCAACAAAACATCTATGTCAGCCGATTATCTCGATGACACATCAGCAGAAATCGCAATAAGTACAGAATACATACCAAAAAACAAAACTAAACAAAAAAACCCTACCCAACTATTCATAAAAACGGTGAGAGAGGACACAGTCGTCCTTTGATATGCACTTCCTGGTAACTTGAGGCCATGCATATCTAGGTTGCGCAATAAAACACAAAAGAGTTTCACGTTTAATGAATATCCACATTCACATCCAAAACTAACTAGCACCAGAAAGACACCCTCGCTAACAGCTGCATGGGAAGATGAAACAGAATAAAGAGCTTCGGCTTTACATAAGCCATTTCATAACAAAATATCCTGAAATGCACTACGGTTTCCTCCCCTGCCCCCTCTCTCACATCACAGGTGGTCATTATCCCACAGGGAAAGATGAGGTTAAGAGGGGGTTGGGGAAAGACCTTTGGGTCTGGGTGGCCGAGGAATTGTGAGAAATAAAGATGGAGGCAGGAGACCGAAGACGAGTGGGTGCCATCCACCGGCGTCACCAGAGGCGAAGACAATCGGCGGGCTAAACGTTCCCACAGGGCTTTTGTGAAAGCAGGAAATCTGGCACAGGCTATAGGCCATGCTGGCAAGGTAGTGGGCCTCGCTCGGATGCGGGTTGCCATGGCAACTGCCGAGCCTGGCTCGATGGATCAGCACGGACACTTGTACGTACTCACACACACACACACACACGAAGAGCGGATTGCTGAGTGTAGGTTTGTGCATCTAATTTTCTACCTGTATATGCAGCACCAAGGTTCAAATTGTCGTCGTCACGTGGCGGCTCCCTCCAGTTGTCATATTTCATCCTCCTTTTGTTTTCCGCTCTTCTTCCTTTGATAAACTAATTCGCATTTCCCTCCCGTTTTCATGCAAATCACAACTGGAACGGCCGAAATGGGTTCGGAAAAACAAAGGAGGCGCTAACAATGCGTGATTGTGCTGGCTGACTGGGTTAAGTGATGTAAAGCGCTCGAATGAAAGGAGGAGCAGCAGAGGGAAATAAACGAGGGGGTTCCTGTTCTCCAGGACGCATCGACACGTCTCCACCTACTGCATTGACTTCACAGTGACTGAAGAGCAAATTAAACAAATATATAGAGTGCCAGAGTTCGCAGATTGCGAATCAACACTGAACTGACCCGAGTTTCTTTATAGTTGAACTGAGCTAAATTCATTATATGTGACCCTGGACCACAAAACCAGTCATAAGGGTCAATTTTTTGAAATTGAGATTTACACATCATCTGAAAGTTGAATAAATAAGCTTTCCATTGATGTATGGTTTGTTAGGATAGGACAATATTTGGCCGAGATATAACTATTTGAATATCTGGAATCTGAGGGTGCAAAAAAAAAAAATCAAAATATTGAGAAAATCGCCTTTAAAGTTCTTAGCAATGCATATTACTAATCAGAAATGATGTTTTAATATATTTACAGTAGGAAATTAGCAAAATATCTTCATGGAACATGATCTTTACTTAATATCCTAATGATTTTTGGCATAAAAGAAAAATCTATAATTTTGACCCATACAATGTATTTTTGGCTATTGCTACAAATATACCCCAGAGACTTGAGACTGGTTTTGTGCTCCAGGGTCACATATTGACCTGAACTAAACTGAATCAACATTGAACCAAACTGAGTCGTATAATGAAAATATTGTCTTTTTAGAGCCATGTTAGAGCTGAAGTTGTATTGGTTTCGTAATTGAAGAACTCTGCACTATTTTCCTTATTATTACTGTGAAGCTGCTTTTAAACAATCTGCATTGCATAAAGCGTTATATAAATAAAGCTGACTTGACTTGAGGCGGAAGCAGACGACCGCATGAATGGAGCGCAAAAATAACCTGAACCTCAGATGGAAATTGTCCCAACAGCCAACAGCTGGACCACACTGCAATTACACACCAGCGCTAACACCTCCGGAGCAATTACACTCATTTACTGACCACAGACGGAGCTGCAACTCGCTCTTTTTTTTCCTGCCAGTGGGAACATATTGTGTATTTCTAAGCGAAATTAAGATTTCAGCAGAATGTTTGCTGGTTTCTGAGAAATGTACTGATGTTTTAGTTTTTTGATGAGGTTCTCAAAACAACTCAAACATCAAATTAAAAAGAATTTTCCATAAGCAAAGCACCTCTTGAAAAAAAAATTAGCATAAATGTTGGAAAAGTAAAAAAAAAAACAAATATTGCATATTTGCACTATTGATTAAAAAACTCCTTCTGACTACATTAAAATTCCTTTAAAGGGATTATTCACTCCAAAAATGAAAATTGTCAATTTACTGACCCTCAAACCTACATACAGTTCTAAACCTGTATGGATTTCTTTCAGCAAAAGAAGAATGTTGGTAACCAAACATTTGACGCTGCCCATTGATTTCCATTGTATGGAAAAAATAATATAGAAGTCATAGGCTACCGTCAACTGTTTGGTTGCCAACGTTCTTCAAAATATCTTCTTTTGAGTTCAGCAGAAAATAGACACTCGTACAGGTTTTTAACAAGTGGAGAGTGAGCAAATCGTAGCAGAAATGTCATTTTTGGGGGAACTATCCCTTTAAGTCGGTCCATGCGACAACATACAGTTCTAAACCTGTATGAATTTCTTTCAGCAAAAGAAGAATGTTGGTAACCAAACATTTGACGCTGCCCATTGATTTCCATTGTATGGAAAAAATAATATAGAAGTCATAGGCTACCGTCAACTGTTTGGTTGCCAACGTTCTTCAAAATATCTTCTTTTGAGTTCAGCAGAAAATAGACACTCGTACAGGTTTTTAACAAGTGGAGAGTGAGCAAATCGTAGCAGAAATGTCATTTTTGGGGGAACTATCCCTTTAAGTCGGTCCATGCGACGGGCATCTTGGTAATGTCCCGAGCAACAATTTTCTACAAAGGCAATAACCATGCAAGTACTCATGCAAATGCACATTCTATAATAAGCAAACAGGTGACGTCTCTATCAAAGAAGCCTACTTTTTTTCCTACAGCTGCCATATGGGCAGAAGTTCATTGAGAAAAGGGTTCGTTGAGTGTTATGATTACGATGCATTTTTTTCTACAAGTGGGTCTCATCTCTTAAAGGCTTTGCGTTAAAAAAAAAAAAAAAAAAAAAAATAGACACTCGTACAGGTTTTTAACAAGTGGAGAGTGAGCAAATCGTAGCAGAAATGTCATTTTTGGGGGAACTATCCCTTTAAGTCGGTCCATGCGACAGGCATCTTGGTAATGTCCCGAGCAACAATTTTCTACAAAGGCAATAACCATGCAAGTACTCATGCAAATGCACATTCTATAATAAGCAAACAGGTGACGTCTCTATCAAAGAAGCCTACTTTTTTTTCCTACAGCTGCCATATGGGCAGAAGTTCATTGAGAAAAGGGTTCGTTGAGTGTTATGATTACGATGCATTTTTTTCTACAAGTGGGTCTCATCTCTTAAAGGCTTTGCGTTTAAAAAAAAAAAAAAAAAAAAAAGAATTTTAACACGACAGCATCTTAAAAAATGGAGTGCTAAAAAACAGACACTAAAAAAAGAAAGCAAAATACAAAACAATGGTGAAAGACGTCCTACTAGTGCATGTTAACATACAAAAACAATTGCAGACAGATGCAGTCTTTATGCTTTAAAGACTAATAATCTGTTTAAAACTGTAAAGCCGATTTGACATCTGTATTGTGTGAAGTGCTACAGAAGTTAAGGTGACTTGATTAATAAAATCAGTAACTTCTGGACTGATATTACTCGGGTTTGAACCTGCAATCATCATGTTAAACTCCCAGAGCTTTAACCACTGGACTTCAGTTTCCTCTTTCATTTTCTAGCGTGTTTTCAAGAACTTCAATATAATTTCCTTAATGTGTAAAATTCCAGCAGCTGCGTTGGCTGTTTTAAGAGCAAGGATGTGACGCTGGACAAAAAGTGCTGAATCAATTGAGGGCGGCAAAAAAAAAAAAAAAAAAAAAAAAAAAAAAAAAAAAAAAAAATGCTGAAAA